GCTACCAAGCCGAAGGTGGGTGATTTTCAATTGTGGCCCTTGGCCAGGTTCAGATTGTTTTCCGTCAAACATTCTTCTAGGTGGTATAGCACTGGTCTGTGCATTGCTGTAGAGAGGTAACTCATGGTTGCTGTGATGCTGAAGACTGTGACAATGATGTGCCAAACGTGGTAATGGGTACCCATGGTGGACAGTGTTGGCTGGACTTTCCCTACTAAATCAAGCCTGGAAGCAGGAGCAGCATCCACTTCCGAAATGGCTCGCCTCCGGAAACTCTATGTATGAACAGTGCTCAGGATGTTCATTCATAGGGTTGCTATGAGTCGTCTATGACTCGACGGCACCAAACAACAACAATCCTGAGCCAGTCTCAGTGACTCCAACACACTTAATTCTATTGCCCCAGCTATTGTGTCTATCCATCTCATCTGTGGTCTTCCTCTCCTGCCCTGTCCCTCCAACCTTCCAAGCATGATGTCCTTCTCCAAGGTTTGATTCCTCTTGGCAACATTCCCCAAAATATGCAAGATGGAGCTTCAGCATGGTAGTATGTTCAGTACTCTTCTCTGGCACCACAACTCAAAGGCATTGACTCTTCTATCATCCTTAGTCGTTGTCCAGCTCTCTGATGCAGAGCAAATAATTGTGAAGATCGTGGCTTGGGTCAGGCACACCTTATTCTCCAGACTGACATCATTGCTCTTCAGTACTCTGGAGAGGTCCCTGACAGCAGATTTCCCAATACATTTCGTTCTTTGATTCCTATCTGGCTGGTACCAAGAGATTGAGGAACCAAGCAAACTGAAAGTGTTAACAATCTTAATCTTCTTTTCTATCATGATGTGGCCAAATGGTCCAGTTGTGAGAATCTTTGTTTTCTTGATTTTGAGCTTCAGTTCATATTGAAGGTTGAGGCAAATGCCTCATGTCCTCCTCACTTTCAACAAAGTTGTGTCATCTGCATAACACAGGTTGTTGATAAGTCGTCCTCCAATCCTAATGCCAATTCCTCCTCATAAAATCCAGCCTCCTGGATGATCTGTTTCGCATATAGATTGAAAAGGTATGGAGATAGGATGCATTCCTGGTGTATACTTTTCCTGATCTTGATCTTGTTTCTTTACTCAGTTCTGATAACTGCCTCCTGGTCCAAGTAAGGTTTTGCATGCGCACAATCACATATGTCTGTTTTATTAGAATTTAGAGAGTCCACGCAGGTGATGATGAAGTAACTGAAACATGTGAGTTGCTCCAATAGGAGAATCCTGTTATATTAAAGAATAATGTGGTGTTGTTGTTGTTATGTGCCATCGAGTCACCTGCAACTCATAACGACCCTATGTACAAGAGCCCTAAATGCTGTTCTATCCTGTGCCAACCTTGCTGTCTCAGACACACTCATTCCCACACTCAAATCACAGAATCGATCCCATCTCATCGAGGGTCTTCCTCTCCTGCATCGTCCCTCCACTCTCCCATACACGATATCCCTCTCTAAGGACCAGTCCCTCCTTGCAACATGCCCAAAGTATGTCAGACGAAGATTCAGAATCCTTGACTCCAAGGAGCATTCTGGCTTCACCCTCTCCGGGACAAACCTGTTTGTTCTCCTAGCAATCCATGGTATATTCAACACTCTTCTCCAGGACCACAGCTCAGAGGCATCAATTCTCTTTCTATCATCCCTATTCACTGTCCAACTCTCTGATGCGTAGCACATAATTGCGAAGACTATAGCCTGGATCAGGTCCACCTTAGTCTCCAGCCTGACGTCTTTGCTCTTCAGTACTCTTGAGAGGTCCCTCACAGCTGACTTTCCCAATGCAATTTGTCTCTTGATTTCCTGGCTGCTGGTACCAAGAGTGTTGACTGTGGAGCCGAGTAAACAAAAACTGTTATTGAGATAATTATCTCAATCTCTTCACTATCCATACTGGTGCTGCCAATTGGCCCAGTGGTGAGAATTTTTGTTTTCTTGATGTTGAGATTCAATCCATATTGAAGGCTGCAGTCCCTGACCTTCTGCAGCAAGTGCTTCGGGTCCTCCTCAGTTTCACCAAGCAGGGTTGTGTCATCCACATAACGCAGGTTGTTGATGACTCTTCCACTAATCCTGATACTACGTTCCTCCTTGTACAACCCAGTGTCTCGAATGATCTGTTCAGTATACAGATTGAAAAGGTATGGAGACAAAATACATCCCTGACGGACCCCCTTCTTGATTTTGAACCATGTAGTGTCTCCTTGCTCTGTCCTGATGACTGCCTCTTGGTTCAAGTATAGGTTTCACATTAGCACAATCAAATGTTCTGGGATTCCCATTCTTCTCAGAGTCAGCCACAGCTTGTTGTGATCCACACAGTCAAAAGCCTTTGCATAGTCAATGAAGCACAGATAGACATTCTTTTGGTATTCTCTGCTTTCTGCCAAGATCCATCTAACATTAGCTATAATATCCCTAGTACCATGACCTCTTCTAAATCCAGCCTGCACATCTGGCAGTTCTCTGTTGACATATTGTTCCAAATGTTTTTGGATAATTTTCAGCAGAATCTTGTTTGCATGTGATATTAATGATATTGTTCAAGAATTTCCATACTCTGTTGGGTTATTAAAGAATCCTTAAATTATATTCATCATATATTTAATATGAAGTATATGTTATTCTATTATTTTTAAAATTTGTAGTCCATATGGAATATATAACCAAAAAATGAAATAAACTAACCAAAAGTTAAAATTATCAGAATTTTAATTAGAATGCTTCATAATTATTATTAAGTTCAGTGAATACCTGTGATTTGATTAGCTGTATTATTTAGGGAATGGGATGTTAAGTGTAGTTAATCAAATAGTAATATTCTTTCTTTCTACACATAATAAACACCAACCGTATAGAAAACATGGTGCAATGTGGAATACACAGATATGTAAAATACATCTGTGTGTTTGGGAGCAATTTTAATATTTATTGTTTGAAATTTCTTTAAATTTTAGTCTTATGTTTTATTACTTTAATAAGATCAATATAGACCATATAAATGGATCTTTAATGATTTGGGATCTTACATGGAATGAACCACCTTGTATTATTTCTAATAGAAATAGTATGGTTATGCTGACCATAGCAGTTTGCCCCAAAAGGTTATTTTTGAGTAATTTGTGAATGGCCAATTTGGTTTTGAAATTTACTTTGTTAATATAAGAAATATTCAGTGTCACTATTTTGGTATGTAGATTAAATTCAGTAGCTTTACACATTTATGTAATTTATGGAAACCTGTGTGCTCAGGCCTGGTTTTGTTTTTGGTCAAATACTCTTCTGTACACTGGTCTGTCCATTTTTTGTACAGAGGTAACTCATGGTTGCTGTGGTGCTAAACACTGTGACACTGATGTGTCAAATGCAATAATGGTAACCCATGGTGGACAGTGTTTGGTGGAGTTCCCGATTAAAACAAGCTTGGAAACAGGAGTGGCATCCACTCCTGAAATAGCTTGCCTCCGGAAGCTATGAACCTGGAGAAACAATGAAAGTTATACAGGTGTTCAGTTCTTTTGTTCATAGAGTCACTGTGAGTCATCTATAACTTGAGGGTTCTTAACAACAACAACAAAAACAATGTACAAAATTAAACCTTGCCAGTTCTTTGCTTGATGATTTTGTGGTAGTATTCCTAAAGATGAAGTTAATGAAGATGAAACTCAAATAACTTTTGTACTTTAAATACTACTGTTTCCTTTTAATTCTGAAGTGTAAGTGAAATTAATCTAGAATCCTGTGTCCTTTTGCCATGAAAGAGACTGTCATGTATGGAACTCTTTTTTAAAATCAGCCAGAATTTTATCACCAAAGTGTTAACATGTTGTGATTTTTAAGGAGTACTGGTGGCACAGTAGTTAAATTCTCCACTGCTAAACCAAAAGTTGGACAAGAGGAAGATGTTGGAATCTGCTTCTCTAAAGATTCAAACTCAAAATTCACTCTCTTTGAGTTGGTTCCAACTCATAGAGACTGTCTCTCAGATTTGCAGGGCTCTAAATCCTGGGAAGGAGGAAACTGCCCATCTTTCTCCTGCAGTGTGATCAACTTGTTCATGAGACTGACTGCCTGAGATTCTCAACCTTTTGGTTAGTAGCACAATACCCTCTAGATTGTGCTGCAGGACCCTTAATGCTCTCTGCTATCCTTTCTGAGTCCTAGCAGACCACCCTCGAGTTTTCAAGGCTCTAAATCTTAATAGGAGGAGACTGTCTTTATTTTCAGAAGAGCTGGTGAATAACTTGAACTACCTGGGATGCTCTGTGCTACAGACTAGGCACCAAAGTGTCTTCCATAAAGATCCCAGCCTTAGAAACTCTCTGGGGCAGAGATGGTGTGAATAGGACTTGGCTGGAAGGCAGTAGGGTTAGTTGGTATTTGTTTTGTTTTTTAAAGGAATTAGCAGCATATACGCTATTTCATTTTTAAAATTCTCAGTTTTATTTGCATAAGATGTCTCTCATGTCCTCCTTATAAAAAACAAAAACTACCAAAGAACCAAATATGTGTTTAAAATATATTTAGTATGTTGTTTGTTGTTATGTGCTACCGTAAGGAATTAGCAGCATATACGCTATTTCATTTTAAAAATTCTCAGTTTTATTTGCATAAGATGTCTCTCATGTCCTCCTTATAAAAAATAAAAACTACCAAAGAACCAAATATGTGTTTAAAATATATTTAGTATGTTGTTTGTTGTTATGTGCTACCGTATGTATAATAACCCTGACACCTGCTCTATTCTGTGCCAACTTTACTGTCTCTGACACACCCACCCTCATTATGGGTTACCATAATATCTGAACTAGTTACCATAATATCTGAACTAGTGTGAGCAGTAACCATGTGCAAGGTAACCTTGACAATTAAGTGCTGTAGACAAACATGATTATTAGTTTGTTTGATTATTGATATGTTCTGTCCTATGTGCCTAATTGTTACTGCTTTGTTTCCACAGCTGCAGAACCTTGGCCTGAAAATGCTACATTATATCAACAACTGAAAGGTGGGTCTTTGGTCACAATTAAAAATGGTCTTATATAAAAATAAATTTCTAAAATCTTGGCTAATAAAATTTACTGCAAAGAGAACATAGACTATAAAGAAGCGATTCCCTGTATAATCTGTCTAGGAGATTATACTGAAACTTGCTAGTATAAAACAACTATTCATGGCCTATAAGGTCCTTAGTTTATTATTGACTCATTATACTGGCTCCTATAGGCGGTGTAAAATGATGTGGTTGCAGGCACACTTGGCAGATTTACTGCATCAAGAGCTGAGACAGCAAATTTTTGAAGTCCTGTGGTAAAGTGGGCTCTCAGTAAAAAGGAACTGTTAAAATGTATAGGCTAGGATGGTTCAGGCTCCCGTTAGCAGCTCTTCATATATCATCAGATCACATTATGGACCCCATTTGGGGCTCAGCAGCCTGCTACAGTTGTCAGAAGACTGCAAAGTAATGAAGACTAATAGGCAGCAGCTCTAGTCTTCTAAGCATGGAATTTTTATTGCACCGAACTTGTCATCCTTCTTTTGTGTGACAGACCTAGACACACTATGCAATATTAACTGCAAGCTGCTTTTATATGATTGTGAATGCTTTTACTTTTAACTAAAGGGGTTTGAATAGATACTCTTTTACTTCTTTTAATGAGAAAAAAGGGAGTATTTATTGATAGCTTGGAAAATGAATTTGTTTTTAAATGAGCAGTTTTAATATATTGCTGGTACAATGAGAAAAATGATTAAATAGTTTCAGAGAAAATAATTTTACTATTATTTACATGCTATGATAATTTAAACAAAATTATAATTACACAGTATATTGATGGAGAATTTTTTACTTACTTTGTTAAAGGCTGTACTTTTAAATTTTAAATCTAGGAATAATTAAAAAATAAAAATACCATAAATATATTTTACTTGCTTAGGGGTAACATTTCCAATTTAGCCATTTTATTGTGTTTCCGCAGAGGAGCAAATTTTACTTTCTGACAATGCAGCTTCTCTTGCTGTTCAGGTAAGTACGTAAATAATAGAATATTCTCTTACTCCCTGGGTGATTTGAATTGTTTGGCGTGGCATTTATTTTTTTCCTTCCAGAAAGTTCAATACAATATTTTTAAAATTTTTCAATGTGATTTACTATCATCAATATAATATTATTTCTCCACTGAAATGTAATTTTTATATGGCATTGCTCACTTAATTGTTGTCAGTCCTTAAAGTATGAGAGTCATCATTATTAATTAATTAGTTTACTTCATTTTTAAAAATCACTTAGGTGCTAGACAAATTCTAGTTCTAAACAATTTTGCTTTTGGCTAGATATGATGGTATTGATTATTTGGGGCTATATGTTCATTAATGGACACAGATTTACTTCCTAATTTATTTTTTAAGATTTATTTTTCACATAGTTTTAAGCCTTATTCTGCTCCTTCTAGACTTAATCTTTTGGTAGTCCTGAATCAAGCATATTCTTCTCTAGCCACTGTGACAAAATTTATTACATTAACATCTTTAATCTTAAACCACTAATTAATAGCTCTTCATATTGTGTATCATAGTTGTAAAATAAAAAAAAAAAGATTAGTGGCCTTCTAAACTCTTAATGCACTACGGAAAGAATAAAATAGAAACTGCATAGTAAAAATGGTTATGAAGGTTATGAAATTATACTTATTCAGATAGTTTATATCTTAGCTGTGATTAATTTAGTTAGTTTACAAAGTTTGGATTACAAGTCGGATTTTAGTTTGGAGGACCTAAGAGATAACAAAAGAAAAATTATGACGTGATATTTATTGGTGACTGTGAGCTTCTTGAGGACAGAGAGAAAGGGCAGCAAAAAGTCTGTATATTTTGTCTTTGTTGTTCTGGAGGCACAATGCTAGACTCTTAATTTTAGGTCTTCTTGTTTACCTTTTTTATTCAAGAGTTTATCCTTTGGATTTCATTTCAGTGTCTGAAACATAATATGCTACTTAAGGAAAAGATGGAGAGAAGTATGCTTTCTTCTATAAACAGAAATTTTCATTTATGGTTTCTAAATGTTAGCTTTCAACTTTTAATGTTAATGTTGGTTTTTTGTTGATGGAGATGGAATTTAAGTTTCCTTTTCAGATGTTAAAGAACATGGTACCTGACATATACTATGTACCTAATAAATGTTTGTTGAGTGAATGGTTTATAGTTGTGGTGAAAGTAATATTGCCTGACAGCTGACAGCACAAGTAAATTATTTGCAATGTATAGTGCTTTCCATCTTTATATCTTTGAAAGACAGCTTCAAGACATGTTGAAGCCTGATTCTTAACTCTTATTAAGTTGGCATTTTGGGTTAACTTTCAGGATCTGATGAAGGCCAGAATAAACGTACATAGTGCATGTACATAAATAAAAAGATATTTGCATTCTAGATTTGTTTTCAGATCTTCCTCCTGAAGCCATCTGTGGATCTCCTGTGAAGCACTCCTAAAGTATATAGTAGTGATTTAGGAATAATTTCCACCAAATAGGAAGGTGTTTTGGGTGGGAATAGATCACTGATTCTTAACTAAGGGAATTATTTACCTCCCAGGGAACATTTGGTTATATTCAGAGATATTTTGGTTGGCAAAGCTGCTCAAAGCTTGGAGGTGGGGTGCTTCTAAGCTGCTAGTGTGTAGAGGCCAGGGATGCTGCTGCATATTCTACAGTGCGCAGGAGAATCTCACTCCCCACCCACAACAGAGAAACATCCAGCTCATATTGTCAGTAGTGTCAAAGTTGAAGATGCTTGGAATGGATGGTTTGACCAGTTTTCCATACAAACTGAATTTTCAGCGTAATACTGCTTAATACCTGTGTGTATGCTTTCATGACTGACTGCACATAGTGGAGTAATGTTTCAAGTAATTATGGAAAAGGGGGGAAAACCCAGTTTTACTTATAAGTTGGTCTCTTAGTGTCTATTTTATTTAGCAACTCCGTTTTTATGGTTCTATTAATCTGCTTTCTCATTTTTAATTGTGCTTACAGTTAAAAATAAAGCCAAGAAGAAAACACCCTTTAAAATGTAGACTTTTGCTTAATCATTTCAAATTTTTCTTATGCTACATATGTCACTTAGATGATAAATTAACCAGCATATATTAAAAAATCTTGGTTTTCTTCAATATTCTCTGGGTTGACAGCTGATAGTAGCCATGACTATAAATGTGACTCTTCCAGATATCTGATGTAAACTTTATGGAGTAATTTTTTTCTATACAGTAGACCGGTATCCATTTAGAAACATCAGTGAAAGGCTTCACTTTTGGTGTATAAAATTGATCAAAGCAATGTGACAGGTGTCCATAAACTAGATATTTTTTAGAAGATACCAGTTACCAGACATCAGATATTTTAATAGTCTGCCAGTTAAGCTATCAGGAAATTTAAATTCTACTTACCACATAGACTTGTTATTTATTATACTGCCGAAGCTAAATGGTTAGATCTTTTTTTGATTTAAGTAACCATGATGATTTTCGTTTAAAGGAGAAGAAATATTTTCCTAGGGCCATTTACCCTTCAGTTTGCTTTCCTGTCATCCACAAAATATTGGCATTACCTGAAGTGCTTCCTGTTAATAAAAAATAATTTTGTATCTTGAATATAGTGAAATATTAGTATAGCATGTTGCTCTGTGTTTCATGAGCAGTATGTTTGTGAATATGCATATATTTACACATATACACTTGTGAATAGAGGAGTCTTGGTAGCATAGCAAGAGGGATCTAGCAGCACAGTATGTAGGAAATTGTACTGCTAACCCAAAGACCAGTTCTTTTTGGCCATTTGAATCCCATCAGCACTCTATAGGAGAAAGATGGTCCATCCTGTCGGGTTTGGTCTCAGAAACCCAATGGAAGGTCAGCTACATGTTGGTTCCGAGGGTGTTTTTCTTTTTGTTTGTTTTGATTTTTAGATGAGGTAGCATGGCAAGGAGCTCTGGTGCCAAGCCACTGCTGCTAACCAAAAGGCCACATGTCTCTGGCAGTTGGAATTCATCAGTGACTCTGCAGGAGAAAGATAGGTGGTTTCTTCTTTTTGAGATTTATAGCCTTGGAAACCAGTGAACAATTGCTGTGAGTTGGAATCCACTCAGTGACACCGGTTTTGTTTTGGTAGCATAGTTATTATGTATTGGATTGCTAATGGGAAGATTGATGGTTTGATTTCACCAGCTGCACTGCAGAAGGATTGACAGTGTCTTTTGTAAAGCTTTACATTTTTAGAAACCACTGCAAGGTTGCCATGAGTTGGAATTGACTGTACAGCAGTGGATTTGAGTTATTTAGGTGTGTATAAATATATGTGTGTCTATGCATGTGTGCACATGTGTATATATTTAGAGAGTAAAGGAGAGAACATTTTTAATTCTGTAATACGTCCAACAGTTTGGAAAACTTAAGCTTCAATTGATTGGGAAAAAGAACAGTAATTTTATGTTGTGGCTTTTTTACCTCTTAAACCTAAACTCAGAAGAGTCCAGTGTTTGTATGATTTGTGCCATGTATACAACTTAAAAATTTCTAGTAGTTCAATTGAAAAAAGTAAAAGGAAATTGTTAAAATTAATCATAATAGTATATTTTATAATTAATGCAAAACTTAATAATGAGCTACTTCATTTTGTAATTCACTGTTGCTATGTGCTCTGGAGTCAGAACTAACCCATAGTTGACTCTGGCCGGTTTTTAGAGGCTGTAAATCACATAGGAGGAGAGTGCCCATCTTTCTCCCACTGAGTGGAAGATAAATTCAGACCACCTGCTTTTGGGTTGGTAGTGCAAATAGACTTATAGAGCTCTCCTTCATTTCAAAATTTGATGTGTGTTTTATAGTTAGAGCACACTAGATAGAGCCATGTTTCGCTTGCTCAGTAGTCATAGGGCTAGTGGCTCTTGAATGGGGCAAGACTAGTTTAGAAATACAGTTATGAGCAAATAATGTGTAAATGCCTTAGTTTTTTTGTATTAAATATTTTGTTTGATTTTATTCAAGAAGCTACTGTTTTTATAGGTGATACAATGAATGAAATGGAGAATTGGTTTCTTTATCTTAAATATAAGGAAAAAAAAAATCAGCTGCCATTGAGTCCAGTTTATCTCATAGTAACTTCCAGAGTGGCTGAAAGAACTATATA